ACAAAGCAGAGTGTCCAGGTAAACCTGGTAGCAGACAGGAGAAGGTGCAGTGGTGTATTCCCAGACAATAATCCCAGGGGCTGCATTTCACCAGTTCAAACAGGGGAGCACACCAAAAGTCATCATCATGGTTCAAGCCAGCAAAATCTGATTCTCCAGATCTGATGGGTCAGTGCACCCCTTACATCTGAGCATGGTCGCACACCTCTCTAGTTGAAGGCTGGTATGGGTAAAAGATGATCATGCAAAGGGACTGCACCAGGAGGCAGGAATCCACCAACCCAAACGGTACTCTTAGTTCCTAAGGTTTTTCCAAGTTCTCCTAGCATGGTCCTGGAGAGTTCTCTTAGCATGGTCCTGGAGTGTGTGTGTGTGTGTGTGTGTGTGTGTGTGTGTGTGTGTGTGTGTCTGAATGTGTGTTTGATGTGTGTTCATGGAGGTGTGATATGTGTGTGTGGTGTGTGCCTGTGTGGGGTGTGTATCTGTGTATGTTTGCATTAAACACTAGTTTAAGACCTACAAGGCAGACTTCAAGAAGCATGCTGTTCTGTTCAAGACCCAAGCTGTCAATGTTAAGAGTTTTGGTTACAACCTGCAGGGGAACCAGGCAACCATGGAGGCCCAAGATTGCAATTGCACAAATGCTCCAGACAGCAACACTGAGTGCTCAATGTAGGACACAGCAGTTGGTGCAAGGAGCTAAGGAAGAAGATCAGAGATTTTTTTTTTTCTTTCTGGCTTGAGATCCAGCCTTGTACAGCTCTCTTCAGCACACTGGTGCTTTTCAAAGTGCAAAGTGGACTTCCCAGAGAGCATTGGGAACTTTGGTCCTTGGCTGGAGAAATGCAACATTCCATCAGCATTCCTAGGCCTCCAGGCCTGGACACTGGGATGGCTCAGATTGTAGCCACTGAAATCACCAGTGTCTCCTGATTGGTGAACTGGCCACACCTGTGTGCTGAGTATGCAGTACCCGGAAGCTAGGGGACCCACACTCCCTGCAGGGCTCTCTTGCAGTCAGAACCCTGTCTCTGGCTCTCTTTCTTTTAAACCTTTCCTGGACAAAGAGATATAGGACTGGCAAAACAGGCGATGGGCTTGAAAGCACCTACTCCCCAGTGCTGCAGAAGGGTCTGGACCAGGAACACGGGATATTGCTCAGTTCTCCTTCAAGTGCCTTGGAAAGCAAAGGAAACCTGACAGAATCTCTGGAAGAAAGTCTCTGTCCTGATTGTGATCTCTTGCTGGGTCTATGGCGGAAGGGAGAGGGATGACAAAAATGTGAGCTTGAAGGACACCTGAGAGTCAGAGAATCAATCGGTCCTCCCTGGGTTCCTCAAAGGTGCTTTAGAAGCATGGGAAGAGCCAGATTAAGGATACCTGTCACTGAGAAGGGATCAGGCAAGGAATCAGGCAGAGTTGTCCGAGTAGCTGCCAGCCTGAAATAGAGAAACCGGTGTGTGTCAGAAAGTCAAGGCAGGGAGATTCCAAGACTCCAATTTCCACCCTTTCGGAAGGCTTTGTGTTCCAGAACAAAGCCCAAGAGGATTAGAAACTGTGGGTTGCCAGAGCTACTATTTTAGGGATAAAACATCAAGGTACCAAAAAAAAAGCAGCACCACTTGCACCAGCAGCTTGGAAACTGCATCCCAGAGACCGAGAGAGAGGGGAGTGAGGGACAGGGCAGCTCAGCAGCAGCCCTAAGGAAGTGAAGAAGGGTCTGGCTTTCGGTGAGTGGGTGAGTGTCGAAGCAGAGGCAGGGGCTGGAGAGATGGCTCAGCAGTTAAGAGCACTGACTGCTCTTTCAGAGAACCAGAGTTCGGAGTTTGAATCCCAGGAGTTCGAATCCCAGCACCCACACGGCAGGTAACAATCGTGGGCAACTCCAGTTCCAGGGGATTTGACTCCTTCTTCCATTGCGATGCACTTACATACATGCAATACACTAATACACATAAAATATAATAAGTAAAATTTTAAGTAAGAAGACAAAGAAAAGCGAGGAGACAAAGTACAGGGCCAAGGGAAACCTTGAGGTGAGGCCAAAGGCTGACAGCCTTGAGCCTGCCTCCTCCAGCTGGGGATCTGGGTTACACCAAACACCCCTGGGATTTGTGCTGGTTGGCAATTGGGTGGCAGTGGTGAAGAGTTGGAGGTACCACCTTAAGTAAAATAAGTCTTTTCCTTCCATCAGCAATCCTCTGCATTTATTTAGACAATGGGGAATGGGGTCGATCACCTGCGGTGCAGCTCCAGCCCACAAACAGGCTCCAAGCTGGGAAGCATTAAAGCGGACAAACCCTGAACAGAGACAACTAACTCCCGGCACCGTTTGCCACTCTGTAGGTCCGCTGAAAGCAAAAGAAGGGTGAAGAGGCTGCACCAGGGCAAAGGGGTAAGCTGGCCACATTCGGACGCCTCTGCCCCAAATTTGTTCAGATTCCCTCTTGGCTCCTCTTAGCTCTTTATAGAGAGCGGTATTACTCTGCCGAGAGCTGGGGGCCAAAGCATCAATACTTCAGGGTACTCGACTTCAGAACAAAATAGGGAAATGGGTTCAATATCTTGATGGAGCAATCAGATAATCTGGACAAACTAGATTTTTTTTTTTTTTTTTTTTTTGGAGCAGTGGGTGGTGGCTCAGCCTGTAACCCAGCAGTCCCCGCAGTTCAGAAGTAGAAACAGATGGCTTTGAATTTTAAGCCAGCTTGGTCTACACAGCAAGTTCAAGGCCAGCCAGCATTGTGAGATCCTGTCTCAAGAAAAATGAATAAATTAAACAGAAAAGATTTGTGTCTGAGTTATCAGACAGAAACTTTTCAAGAACTTTTTCTAAGTTCAAGTCTGTAGGCCCTCTCCCTTTCTCTCCCTCTCCGCTCTCCCTACCTCTTCCAAGTTCCACTTCCACTACCAATCCTCTCCCAACATCATGTCCATTTTTTTCCCATAACCCAGCAAGTTTCTCTTGTTCTTTCTTTTTAATCCCTGCCGTCAGGAATCCGAACCACTCTCTGGAATGCTTCGGTTCTTGAATATGGGCAACTCCCCCTCCCCCTCTCCCTCTCCCTCTCCCTCTTCCCCCCTAGCTCTTCATTTCCTCTGTCTCTGCTCACAGGACCCACATCTTGTTTCAAGATAAAGGGGACTCCAGTCATGTCAGAAAGATGTCATATTGCAAATCTCAACTGACACAAATGACAGACTGTTCATGAAGGTCTGGGAAGGAATAAAATGCAGAACACTGGCCACCATGAGTCAGTCTGGAGGACATGCTTGGGGTGGCACAGAGAAGCAGAGAAAAGGCGGCTGCATTTGTTAAAATTTGATTTTGTGGAAACTGTTTTTTATTAGAGCAAAACAGCTACACTGATGCCAGAAGACTGGAACTTGAAATCAAGACACTAAAAGGCAATGTAGATTAAACACCTAGACGTTAAACTGGAGCTCCCGAAAGCAGATGGGAGCAACTTAGAGACCTTGTGGTCAGTGCTGGCCAGCCCCACTGTGAAGCGCTTCTAAAAAGCTCACTCTTCCCCATTTCCAGGCCTTCCTTTACCGAAAGAGTAGCTGAGAAATAAATCCAGGAAGACTGGAAGGCGCATTACCTGCCTCCTTACTCCGCTGTGTGAATGCTGGAGTTTTAATTACACACTTGCCTTTTCTGGGGAAGACCAAAGATCGTATGTTTTCTACGTATCAACTTGTTTTTCCATTAGGCAGTTGTTGTAACAAGTTCTTTCAGCGACATGTTATGTCTTTAAGAAAGGATGCTTTAGATGGCGCGCACTAGCACAATTTTGTGGCTTTTAATTACTATTTTGTTCTTTTGGGGAGTTTCAGAGACTGGCGCCTGGGCGTGGATTAGACTGTCTACGAGGCCCGTCGCAACCTCGCACACTGTCCACCAGGTGGCGCCACAAAGCAGTCGCTGCCGGGAGACTCGGACTTGGGAGTCCTGCGGGGGTCTGTGTCCATCACAGTCCCGCCAAGAATCACAACCACAAGAGATAAAGAGGAAGTCACCCCTTGAACTTAAAGAAAAAAAAAAAACTAGACAAGGAGAAATTACAATACAGCGAAGTAAAGCCTTTAAAAAGAAAATGTTTAATAGGGTTAAGTGCACGAAATAAAAGTTTTCATATTTACTGTTTTTATTAAGGCACAATTAAACGTAGTATTGAGACTTGACAAGTCTATAACCTTACTTAAGTATTATTTCACTTCCTTTTTCGTAAAAACATTGATTTAAACGACTTTGAAGGCTATCTAGTCAGCCTGGCCTACGTTTCCCGAGAGAAACTCAAGGATGACTTTCCCGGTCAATTGCTCAGATGTACATAATTACTGAGCACCTTGGTGTGTCAGGAAACTAAAAGGAAAAGTGATTTCAAATATATTATTAGTAATAATAGCTTAGGGTTTATATAGCTTTTCTCTCAAGCAACAAGGGAAAAACGTTAAATATCCAATTAATTGTTCTAATATCCCTGTAGGTTGGTTAGGAAGCAAGCATTATTATACATGGTTTATGGATAATTTAAATCAATTGACGGTCAGGTGCGGAGTGGCTGACGGAAGTAAGTGCCAGACACTTCGAGGAAAAGCGGTGTTAGAGCTGGCTCAGCCTTCTGCCCGGCTTTTTTTTTAATAGTGTTGACCTCCACCAGAAGGTGTAAAACATTAGCATTGGTCCCTGCAAACAGAATAGCGTAGAGACCCCACTTCTTACTCGGAGACTGGATGCCAGTTGTAGGTCTTCACCGCTGGCCCTGCTGCGGGCCATGCTGCACCCCAGCCGGTCCAGGTCCGTCCTAGACTCGGCAGCCTTTCGGCGACGGCCCGCGGTGCCCGCCACAGGACACCCGCCCTCCGGCCAAGAAGTCCGGTGCGCCCCCAGCCCCTCGTCCCATTCCTTCTGATTGGCTGTTGCTAGGTGACGTCGCCTGCGCTCACGTGACAAGTGTTAAATGCCCACCCTGCGGGAGCCCGCCTGGCAGACAATCGTAAAGCTGCTCTGGGGCTGCTCACCTGCTCCCGCCTCCTGCAGCTCCTGCCCGGCCCCGTCACCTCTGCCCCCTCCACTGCCCGCCCCCGCCCGAGCCCGTGCTGGGCCAGGAGAGGTCCGAGAGGCCGAGAGAGGATGCGGCCAGCGGCAGCTGTCCTGAGCCACGCACGGTGATCGCCTCCTCCAGGGGAGGAGGCGCCTAGACCGTTGCCGCATTTCTTGTTTTCCTCCCCCCCCCCACCTCCCCGTAATTACATTGGCTGCTGGAAGGGACCTGGAGACACAGAGGAGGCGCCTCGCGTCCCCCTCACCCGCCACCCGTGCTCTTTCCTGTCCCGGGCCAGGATGACTGGAGTGTTTGACAGTCTGGTGGCTGATATGCACTCGACCCAGATCACCGCCTCGAGCACTTACCACCAGCACCAGCAGCCCCCGAGCGGCGCCGGCGCCGGTCCGGGCGGCAGCAGCAGCAGCAGCAGCCTCCACAAGCCCCAGGAGTCGCCAACCCTTCCGGTGTCCACAGCCACCGACAGCAGCTACTACACCAACCAGCAGCACCCGGCGGGCGGCGGCGGCGGGGGGGCCTCGCCCTACGCGCACATGGGCTCCTATCAGTACCACGCCAGCGGCCTCAACAACGTCCCCTACTCAGCCAAAAGCAGCTACGATCTGGGCTACACCGCCGCCTACACCTCCTACGCACCCTACGGGACCAGCTCGTCTCCAGTCAACAACGAGCCGGGTACGAACAACGCGGGCGTCTTAGGGTGCCAAAGTCGCGCTAATCGCTGGGGTGGACCGGGTAACTGTGTAGTGGGGAGGAGGCCGTCGGCACCTCCAGCCCTGCCTTTTACTCTGCCCCATCTCGAATCTCCCGAGAGTCAAGGTTTCCATCCCTCTGCGCGCTCAGCTGGGGGACCTGGCAGGCTCTCGGGTTGCTAGGCGCGCTGGCCAAGCTTCTGGGTTATCGCATTTCCTAGCAGCCTGCCTCCCCTTCTCTCCGCTTCCCATCTTTCCCGGCTCTGCAGGGTTCCCAGGCCCCGCCAATCTGTGCGTTGTAGAAGTTGTGGAGCCCGCCTCCTGGCTCCGGCCAAGTTCCCACAGGCCTGGAGGAGAACTTTAGGACCCTGGGATTAGGTGGTGAGTGTTCACGATTCCTTTTCTTTTCAGATAAGGAAGACCTCGAGCCTGAAATCCGAATAGTGAACGGAAAGCCAAAGAAAGTCCGGAAACCCCGCACCATCTACTCCAGCTTCCAGCTGGCGGCTCTTCAGCGGCGTTTCCAAAAGACTCAGTACCTGGCACTGCCGGAGCGAGCCGAGCTGGCGGCGTCTCTGGGCCTCACCCAGACTCAGGTGGGGCTCGCGCCCTGCGGGGGCGAGGTGGGCGCTAGCCTGGGTTAGTCCAGAAGCAGGCACATTAAAAAAGTATATTTTAAGTAGTTTTAAAGATTTCAGGACCTGTGCCTCGGGCAGCCTAAACTTCTAGACCCAAAGCAGAAACTCTCCCAAAGGGACTGCCGGGTCGGGAGGGGAGAAAGGGACCCGGGTGGATAGAAATCCAGTACCACGTTGTCTTTCCACTGGCTACCGATGAAGCGGGTAAAATAACCCGCTCCTGGCACCTCTATGCAGACAGATCCGCGGTCACATAGTCCGCACATACATCGGCTTTTTTGAGCTATCCGCCAAATGGATAGCTAGCCCGCAGGCCCCCGCACGTGATCTGCTCTCCAGCCCAAGTTGCTCAATGGCCACCTCCAGCCGCCAGCTTTTCCTCTGCTCTCCCTGTCTCCTGCCCAGGTTCCTCCACTAATGCCCACGTGCTTTTTCTCTACAAAAGGTCAAAATCTGGTTCCAGAACCGCAGATCCAAGTTCAAAAAGATGTGGAAAAGCGGCGAGATCCCCACCGAGCAGCACCCCGGGGCCAGCACTTCGCCACCTTGTGCCTCACCGCCAGTCTCCGCGCCAGCCTCCTGGGACTTCGGCGCCCCACAGCGGATGGGGGGCGGCGGCCCGGGCAGCGGGGGCAGCGGCGCGGGCAGCTCTGGCTCCAGCCCGAGCAGCGCGGCCTCGGCTTTTCTGGGAAACTACCCATGGTATCACCAGGCTTCCGGCTCCGCCTCACACCTGCAGGCCACAGCGCCGCTCCTGCACCCGTCGCAGACACCGCAGGCACACCACCATCACCATCATCACCACCACGGAGGCGGGGGCGCCCCGGTGAGCGCCGGGACGATTTTCTAACCCGTAAGAGACGGTGTCAGAGACTGAGAACTGAGACCAGTGATGCTCCGCACCGGCTCCCATAGCCCGAGGGTCCCTCCTAGCCCGCGACCACCACTCAGCCCCGGGTCCCACTTCGCGCGCTTTCACGGAGCAACCGGGAACAAGGAGGCCTTGTGGGATCCTCCAGAGCCAAATGGACAACTGCACCGGGAAGCCCGCCCTGAGCCGGGATCTCTCCTTAGGCCTTCCTCGGACCCCTTCCCTGCGGGTTCAGGACGGCTGTCCGGCGCCGAGTTCGCCCTGGGCCCCGAGAGCCGGGTCGCGAAGAGGGACACCTACCCCGCCCGCGAGGCTTCCCGGCATTCCGAGGCTCCTCTCTCCTCGCCTGCCCCGGGGCTCCGCTCCAGTCGGCTTCGGTTATTGACCTCCCTGGGTCCTGGCCGCGCACCCTCCCCCACGTGCCCCTGTGACCCGTTTTTTTGTTTTTTTTTTTTTTGTTTTTTTTTTCTTCCCTGCCCGGGGGTTCCCAGCCCTCGCAACCGGGATCGCTCCCCACCTTCGCGCCACCCGCCCCCCAGGAACGCTCCCTTAGCCCTCTCCTCATCCATCACAAGTGGAGTTTTTTTATTTTATAAAAGTTTAGGTGCCTTTGCGGATGACCTCATTTTGATGTTGAAAATAAAAACTGATTTTTTAAATATGTGGACACTGCAAAAAATGTGTTTAAATTATCTTTTTTAAAATGTATTCAGGATTATTAGTCCGAACTTCGACACAGAGTTTGTAAATAAAGGTCTGTGCTGATTTCCCCACATTTATTTGTATAAAAATCCTCATCTTTTAAGACTTTTGTAAACCTCCAGTTGTGAAAACTGGGGTTCTGCAGTGACCTCGGCAACACCTTCGTTTTATTTTTCCCTTTGAAAAACCTTCTCAGTTAAATTAAGCTACTGATTTGTTTTATCTTATCCTAAGGCCTATGTTCTTGAAATGCAAGGTATTTGGGGGTTATTTATTATGAAAGCAACATGCTCTCAATGTTGATTTTACATTATGAAGAGATTATTTAAATAAATTATTGTTTTCATTGGAGTGTATGCTTTTTCCTTGGTGCCAGGGTTCTCTCGGTTATGCGTTCAGACCTGGAGCCTTTGCCTGAAACCGGATGAACAAGACAGCGTCTTTTGCACCTTTCGGAGGCTTCAAGAGCCTGTTGGTGCGCACCAGTCCAGGACAGGCACATGGGTTCAGACTCCGCCCCTGCCCGGGTCTCCGCGCAGTTCCCCAGCCTGCGGCGGCGCGGTGACTCACTCTGCGCCGGGCGGCTCTAGCCTCGGCCCGCCGGGCCCCTCTGGCGCCGGCGCCACCGCCCTGAGCCGGGGCTGTCTCCGCCGCCCCCGCATCCGCAGTACAGACCAGGCTGTGCATCCTACTCGCCGCGGGCTACCCACTATCCAAGGCCTAAGCTCTGCAACAGTCGGGGATCAGACCCCTACACTGGTCCCTCCCCTCCATTTGCCCCGAGGCCCTTTAGGAGCTGGCTGATAGAGAACTCTGTGAGTCACCCTTGCAAAGCACGGGTTGCATGCTTTGGAATGCCGGGCGACCCCAGGGTACAGGGCTGCACTCCCACATGCACAGACACACTCTCACAGTCACTCATGCCTCAAACACACGCAAGTACACACACTCCCATTACACACCGGTTCAGTCACACAACGCACAAATTCATGCACACTTAACATATAAATTCAGTTACATAGGGTCAGAGACTGATGCACACTGGGGCATCCTTGTACCTCACTCTTGGAGAGGAAAGATCCGCACATCACTCAGCTCTGCTTCCCACCATGGGCCTCACACAACCAGTTTGCAGCTTTGGACATGACCCTACTTTCTAGAATTCCCTGCAAGAATAAATAGAGGGTAGCTGTGTAATGCTGCTCTAAACTAAAAGCCTGTTTGCCTGAAAGCCCTGGGCTTGCAGTTGGAAGCTCCTTTGGCTTCAATTGCCATGTGACCTTGGGCAACCCTCTTAGCCTCTCTGTGTTGCCGTTTGCAGATCTCTAAGATAGGAGAAGTAATAACAGCTATGGCTCAGAGTTGTGAGCAACTTAATGAACCCCTAATGAGGCTGTGATATAACAGCCTGGCACGTGATAAATTTTAGCTATTTCGTATTTATTATTACTGTTTTATCACAATGCCCCAAGTCAGAAGTGCTTGCTTTTCTTGGGAAGTCCAGAGTTACTAGATCTTTCAAACTTCTTGAGCTGGTGAGCACCGGGCTGGGGTTCAGAGAGCTCTGACCCCTTTCTATGCGGTGCTGGAATCCCAATCCCAACCATCATTCCCTGCACCCTTTACTAGAGAAGTTGGACACAGAGAGAACCCTGCTTGCCAGATTCAGTCCCGGTATCCTTTAGGCTGTAAGGGGTCTTCCATGTGTCTTCAATTCATCTCTGCAAATCACAGCCTTGCAGTGGAGGTGACTTTCTGGAGTCAGGGGTCCCATCTTGGAGGAAATACTGACTTTTCTGATCAGATTATTGCAGGAGGGGTGCTTCAAATTCGGTTTACAGCAGAATGTGGTCCAGGAAGAGCTCTAGAATCCAGAGGACTTCATAGATCGCTGTGCCTTTGTATTTCTATATTGTTTTCCCAGCTTAGAGAAACCTAGGCTGAAGCTCTTTGACCTAAGATCTTGGGTTTCTTAAACAACTACTGTCTATCGGACCCCCATCTCTGTACCCCTCCCATCCCCCTTCGCACTTTCAAATTCTACTTTTTTTAGTGCCAAGAGCTGGTACCAGCCTTCCCCCGGAGGTTGTGCCCTCCCCTCCTTTGAGTGCACTCCCCTCCCCCGCTCCTGAAACCAGCGGGGAAAGACAGGGCAGTAAATTGGCTGGTGTCGAGGATCTGCAGCAGACAAGATGATTAAGAGGCCTACGCCGGAGCGCCCGGGGCAGGGAATGTCAGCCCAAGTTGGAATCACGCAACAGGCCTTGGCATGAGCCAAGCCTGGGAGCCGGGAGGGCGGGCAGCCCTCTCCGGGGTGGGCTGAGGCCCCACAGACTCGCCGGAGTCACCGAACCTGGCACTCGGCGGCGGCGGGGTCGTACGGGGCCACAGCGCGGCTTTTGCAGGGCAGCGAGCAAAGGAGGATGCAGGGGCCAGGGAAAGGGGGGCGTTTCCTCAGACAAGAAGAAGGGCCCGAGAAGAGATCGCTGAGTCCCACCCGGGTCCAAGAAGTGAGGGGGCGGGGAGGCAGAGGGGTGGGCTGGGAGAGAAACAAAGCGGGACTCCGGGAGGCGGGGGCCGGCTCCAGCCCCGCCGGGGGCGACGCACTGGCAAGCCTTTCTCACAATCCTGGGGCCCGCCTGGAGACGCTGAGCCCTGTGATCAGCCCGCCGCGGCGCAGACACGCTCCCCCCGCGCTTAACTGCGCTCCCCGAAGTACGAATGAAAAATGGAAATGGGAAGCGGCGATCTCGGCTCCCTACATTGGGAAACCAGCCTTGCTCGGAACGCACATAAATCTTCATTGCAATCCCCTTCCAGTTGCTCCTGTAAAATATCTGGGCAGAGACAGGATATGACAAGCACTGGGAAGCTAAGGCTCGGGGGCGGGGGGGGGTACTGAAGGGCGTCCGGCCCCCTCCGCTCCGCCCTCTGGAGGGGTTCACCGAACTCTTGGCAAAAGTTCTGGCACCAAACTCTATACAGTGCCAGCTGCGGGTCGCCCCAGCGCTCCCATCCCAGGCCCGCGAGCGCTCTGCTGGCCCTAGGGTCCCGCGCCGACCAGCTGGACTAGCCTCCGAACCCCTTCCTGCTGCCCGGAATTCCAGCCTCCGGGCTCCGGGGTTGGGGAGGACAGAAAAGAACAGCGCATGGATCCCGGGCCTAATCAGCCCCGCCGCAATGTGGGACCGTTTAGGTTTCTCTTCGGCCTGCTTTCAGGATCATTTGTGAAAATTGTGAATATCCGTCCTGAGTAAGGGTTTTTGAGACTGGTGGGGCGAGTTTGGGGGAAGTATCAGATTTAGTGGGGGCGGAGAGTACGGGAGCAGGATTGGAGCTTTGTTGACAAACAGTTTTCAGGCAGAAGAGGCAGAAACAGGAGGCACAGAAAGAAGAGCCCAAGTGGTGCGGTTGTTCTCTCCTGTTCTGAGCCTTCTCCCCAGAAAAACACTCCTGGGAGCAAAATCCCCGCTTGCCCTTCAAAAAGTCCGACAGCTTGTCACCCCAAATGACTGTCCCACTCCAGACACCGCCAGCACCTGCTCAAAAGTCGAAGCCTCCACCTTTGCCTCCAGGGAACAGCGACCGCCAGCATCCTTAACCTGTTTAGGGTCAAAGACCCTGAAGAATGAACGACAGATCTTTTCCTGCTATGAATGCAGGCAGTCGTTTCGAATTCGACTGAGTCCAGGGTTTCCAAAGTAGTGGGTTTGCCGCGCTAGCCGGGGGATCCAGAATCACAAGGTCTTTACAACTGGGGACTAGACTCTCCTGAAAGACTGGCTGCTTCTCCCGGTCCTGGCGCCCCAATTAGCTCCAGGGAAGACTTCCCCAGGCCTGGTCTTGGGTCCTCTCCCAGGATCTCCCCGAGAGCCATTTCCAGCCCACACCACACAAGCACACCGGTGCAGATAGGATGTCGAGGCCCAGATCCCGCTGAAGTCCCCCCCCCCCAACAGGCGGTCCCCTCGCGGGGACGGGTTTGGCAGTGATTGCCACTTTACAAGATGTTACATTCCGCCCTGAGGCCTCGGGTTAGGAGACAATATGTTTGGGGTGGGGGAGCAGGTCCTGAAAGAGCAGCCACCCGGCGCCTCCACCTGAGAAGCAATCTCCAGACGTGCCCTTCTCCCCAGGGTCGCTCCAGCTTGGGGCTTCCCTCTTTTCATCCCCGGCCGGGGCACAAACGCGACAGTGTCTTAGCATCCCTAACGTTCTCCAGAGACCAGGAATCCCGGTGCCACTGGATGGTCATGTTCATTTGAGCCAAGGAAGGCAGAAAGGAGGACCATGTGTCCCCTAGCGGGCTCGGGCCAGAGGATTACTACTTCGGAGAAGGAGAGACACGGGGTAGTTAGGGGCCGAGCGGGTAGAGGTGACCCCAAGGGCCAAGTCTGGGTCCGCACCGACCAGCAGCCGGGGTTTCCACACTCTTGCCTGGGGATTTGGGGCTAGGAGTCTCCGACACCTTGGAAGTGAAAACATTTGCTCTAGGAACAATGAGGACGCGGCCGACCTACGCCCGCTCTGAGCTTTGCAAAGCCTGGGTTAGCTTCTCCAGTCGGGCGCCATGGCGTTCCCCCTCCCCAGGGACACTCCCCGCCCCGCCTCCTCCCTCTGCGGGCCTGGCCTGGGCTTCTTAAAGTCGCAGGGTGTCTCAGGGCCCTAGAGGAAGCACCGCCCAAGTGCTTCTGCGGGGGGCGGAGGACTGCAGGCTGCAATAATCTCCGGACCCTGGAGACAAAAGAAGAGCCCAGGTGGTCCCGGAGTAGGCCTGGAGGACGCTTAAAGCCTACCTTCCTGCCCCCCTTCCCCTGTAGGGCCCCCCAAACTGCCGGCTTGGGTGCGCAGGCCCCGGGACGCCACTGGCACTCTTTCCAGAGTTCATCTCCCCAGGATAGAGGCCAGGCCATCTCAGGTCCCTGAGGGGCTGCACAGTGAAGGAAGTGTGGGAGAATCCGCGAAAGGGGTCCAAAGAAGGAAAAGGAAAAGCAAGAAAATCAAATAAGCAAATATTGGGAGGGGGGATTGTGTTCAGTCACTTTCTCAGTTGCTGTGTTTAGGGTGTGTGTGGGGGTCTGAGACCTTCCAGGCGTGGCGGGGGGGGGGGGAGCACAATGAGGAAAGTGATTCTCTGCTCAACATATTCACAGGGGGTAGAACAGTGAAAATTTGTCTTGGGTGGCCAATTTCCTCATTTGCCCCTATTAAAACAAAAAGCCCAAGAAATTCAATTAAAGTCACCCTAGCCAAGGCGCTATTTGAGGCATGAATGTCTCCCCTAAAGCTGCAGCAATCATGTGGCATTAGACACTTCCGGAATCCTATAGCCAACCTGAAAAATCCCAGACCCCCTTTTCCCCTAATTTTTGCTCTGATCTGTAATTTTATCCACATTTGCACTAGTTTGAGCATTCTGGCTCTCCCATCTGAAAGCCTGCAATTACTATATAATTCTTCGCAATTTCAGATGTCCTAATATGGACTGTAATTTTTGCGCAAGACAATTTCCTGCTATTTCAAGCATCAACATTGTCAAAGTTGTATGTACATAATAAATGGGAATATCAATGCATAGTTTTTAGCATAACATCTTGACTCCTCGATAATTATATCCGTTCGGAGCCTACGCAGAATTAGCCTGAATTGCATGGTAACTGCTGCTGCTTTAAAATTTTTAAAAATTACTCATAATTTTCCCAAAGATTACCAAGATCTCGAGTGCACAATGTCATCAGCGTAATGAAGAGTAAACATTTATGCTAATAATCTGCAATTTTTTTCATCAGCTATAAAGACAGAGGCTATATAGCCGAAATTTTCAGTTCTATTCTGCAAGCGCAGAGCTGCAAAAAGCCTGCAGCGCTCGGAGGCGCCTGGTCCTGGGGACCTCTTTCCACTCTTTACTCTCAGGATAGGAGGATGGGGCCCGGGAATTCTTTTTGGTTTTCTGTTTTTGTTTTGCTCTGGTTTTGGTCGGTTTTTGTATTTTTCCTATTTTCCCTTTTCCCCCCTTTTTTCCTTTTTTGCCTTTTCTCTCCTGTCATTCTCCCAGCCTAAAGCCGCCTTCGACCCTTTTGATTTGATGTAGCAAAGAGTGTGTGTCCAGATTATCTGAAATTGACACTGAAGAAGGTAAGGGTGGAAACCGGTTTCATTTTTCAGAGGGTTGGAAGGCTGCGCTCGCCGTGGCGGCTCCCGCTCCGGGAGTAGGAGGGTGGGGGAGTGATTATGTATGCACCAGCTAATTCTTCCATCAAAACTTCTTGTCAGCGATGTCAGGAGTATTTTTTTTCCTTTTTATAAAAACACTTGATGTTTCAGGAAGTGTTAATCCCTGAAGATTGGGGGATGAGGGAGGGGGTAGGGAAACGGTGGGTGGGGTGATAATGTTTCCTGAGCCTGGGGAAAGCACCCTTTGGAGCCGTTTTGACTTTCTACTTTGGAATTGGGGTTTGCTGGGAGCTGGGGACAGAAGCAGGATTTCTGTGAGGAATGACAGGAGGCAACCCTTACACTCCATACTGTATTGATGGAGGCTGCTATGGCCATGTGAATTAGTAGTGGGAAAGTTTGCTTTAGCCTATGATTTCAAGAGTATTTAACTCAAGTGGGAGGAGATAGCAAACACCCAGAACTCTACAAATGGCCTTATAGAAGATATAGAAAAAAAGAGATGAACAAGGATAAAGATTTGGGGGGAGGGGAGCTGAATTACTACTTTCTCCCCTTTTTTCTTAATCTAATATCTCAGGCTTTATGTCCAGCTCCCAGACCTACTTGTGTGTGTGTGTGTGTGTGTGTGTGTGTGTGTGTGTGTGTGTGTGAAAACGGATGACTATCTCTTCCAGATTTAGTCTCCTTATCAAATGAGTTTCTATGAATAAATTCACACTTTTGGGCACAGAGATGGAAAGAATTTGAAAACTTTTTTGTGGTGTTTAGAACTAGTCTAGAATCAGAAAGTCTGAAGAGTCATATAACCCAGCCCAGGTTTGGACTCCCAGAAGAAAGAAAAAGCAATACAACATAATGATCAGTGAGGGATAGCTGTGAACACTAAAGGTTCCAGTTTTATGTTTTTAAAATATTGTCGACTTGTAGGCTCTGGGTTCTGCCACCAATATGTTTCACCACTCACAGGGCTACCCGGCCCATCTTAACTTATGAAGGCCAAGACCAGTGAGGAGGGGGCTGGGACTGTTGCTTCTGCCCCACCCCCACTCCTATCCCCTTTTAGAGCTAGTATGTGTGAGAGAAGATATTAAAGAGGTATCTGTTGTTTGGCAATTTTGCTAAGTCTGTCTTCATTACTTTGCTGCTGTGCATTTGCTAATTTGGAGGCCCGGCCATTGACAAGCTTGCTCCATACACCTGCAAGCAATTTGCCGGCTCCGGTACCAGAGAATTGCAGAGATGGCAGCTCGCACCTATTTGATTTTTTTTTTTTCCTTTTCTCAATGCACAGCAAATTTGGCTTTCAGTGCGTTATCTCTTTTGTTAATGCAAAAAGATTCCCTGGGCGAAAAAATTGCTCATAATTACCAGAGAGATGGGGAAACTGCATTAGAATAAATAAACCTGAAATTACTGTAATTATGTTGTGTTTGATGGGCCCGGCTTGTAATCAAGAAGAGAATACAGTGAAATGATGCTGACCCTCTTGGGTTTGCAGCTGTACGCGCACTTTGGGGTCTTTTTTTGCAGAAAAGAGTCATTTTGATAATCATTAAGCTGTGTGTAACCTATTTCAGAAGTGTTTTAAAATGAGGTTCACATTTTTTGAACAAGGGGAAAAAAAATCCCAAAATTGCATTTTGCCATTACAGACTCATACATAAGGAAAGGTTGTGTTTTCTAAGTGACAATTGTTAAGACATAATATTCGAAATCAGTATTTAATCATTATAATGAGGTATTGTTTAAATATAACCACCTTTAGATTATTCATAGTTTAATTAATATACTCATTATGAAAATCTTTGAATCAGATATTTGATGAACTACTTGTCAGTAACAAGGCAGCATTAATTAGGCCTATATTGAGATTAACATTTTTTAAAAGTACAACCGCTTATAATTATAATAGAGCTTAACTAAAGACCGCCTTCCTTGAGCTAAAACTAATAATTTCTCTATTTGAACTGTTAGCAAGAGATTATTAAATTAGTATAAGCTAATATCTCAAAGTATTAAAATCGGCTTGACCAAGCAGATTTTGCCTGTGGCTTGAGCGGTTGTGTACTGGCTGGCCTCTGGGGGAATCCAGGGAAGGGAAAAGTCTACCGCCTAGCCAAGTCCCAGAGGAAACTGAATCCAGCCAGGACTGGATTCAGGTCTCAGCACTAACTCTAGGGTCTAGGCCTGAGAAGTTGTTTCCCTCTCTGTTTTGGTGCGAGTCTGTCCAGTGCCCACACCCTGGTGTGATCTCACCCAAGAGCCGCCACTTGGTTCTGAGGACCGCCAGCAGAGGAAAAGTTCCAATTTCAGTCCTAGAATGGGCGTCAAGGTCCTGGCTTCATCTTGCTCTACCTCCTCAGCTTCTTCCATTATTGCACTCCCCCTCCAGCCCTGGCACTTCCTCCTCCCCTTCCCAAAGGGCGTCGGAAGAGCACCGCGCATCTGATCTTTCACCAACACCAATTGAAAAATGGGTGCTTGTCATAACACAGATCACTGCCTTCCCTGCTCTGCTCCCCACCGCGCACGGGAAATGCCCCCCAAAGGCGGAGGGCCAGCCCCCCCCCCGCGGGCAGCGAATGGGTGCCAAGGAAGCAGGAATCCTGCAAAGTTGGCCCTGGGGAGGGGGGTACTCAGTCTGGGTCTAGGGCCTGAGGTGGGGGATGGGGCTAGGCTGGGGTTCAAGCCAAAAGACCAAGGAGGAATTGAATCTGGTTTTATCCTCCAAGGAGCCCATGTTCTAAAGTGAGCTAAATCCCAGCTTTGTAACAGAGGGAAGTGTCCCCACAGTGGTCTGGCTGGCTCCTGTACCTTAAGGCTGGGATGCCAATGATGTGCTTGACTCTGGACAACTCTCATTCTCAAAATTCCCCTAAGACCTTGTGCTTTGGCACTTCTAGTTTGTGGAATATATAGAGAAAAGTCCCTAATTTTAAGCAGGAATGGTCTTTCTCTTGTAGAAGGGTCTGGGTAGCTCCTAGGGACTGGGACCCTGAGCTCATTGACTGATTGGGATAGTGGCTTGGATGGCCTTGGCCTTCCAGCCCCTGCCTGAATTCAGGGCTTTACAAAACCGAGATCCTGTGCCTCTGGTCAAATCTAACTGATCAGATCCCAGAGGTGGCAGGGGGCAAAGCAGTATGTCTCTGTTTCTAAAGTTCTTGAGAGGTGACAGGGTATGGAGAGAACTCCAGTCTCCCAGGTCAGCTACCCTTGAATTCTGCTTTTCTCTCTCTGAAGTCTTTTGGTTCCTGAGCCCCTGAGCTGTGGCTCTGCCCAGAGGCACCTGTTCTTGAGGCCCCTTCCCCAGCCCTCCCTAGACTTTCCAATTCCTTAAGTGAAGGTAGGGATCTCATATCCTAGAGACTGAGGGGGGCGAGGCATAAGGGGAATTTTGGGGCAACCCTCAGACCTTGGGGTGATATCCTCATGGTTTTGGAGTCAAAGGCCCCCAATCTGACCTGTATAATAAGTGGATGGGCCCATCCTATTGTACTAGAGGTAAGGCCTCCTCTCCCTCCACACAGTACAGGAAGCAGTGGCTCTTTCTTGAAACCATAATTTTACTGTCTCAAAGAAACTTTATAACTTATTTACAAAGTTTTTCCCCCGAAGATACAAAGCAATAAGTTAACATTCTCAATATAAAACTAAACTTTGACATAGAGAACACAAAACACGTTGATTTCAATTGGTCACACTTTCCAAATTTCACAAGTAAAATGTCAAGATTCTCATTTCACAAAGCATCAGGTTTACAGCCACACACAACAGAACGGAAAGAAGCTAAGCTTGTGCAACATGTTTACAGAACAACAATAATAATTATTAATAATAATAACAATAATAATATGTACAGCGATTAGATCCTGCACCAGACTGTGCGTTCAGGGTGGTGATTAGCATTCTGTGGTAGAGCCACTGGGGATTGTTCTAAAGCTGCTTTTGTCTTACTTTAAAGCAACCTGAAATTAGGCGCTTTCACAGGACTTGTTATTTTCTTTCTGCTGCCCACCAGTCCCCTCTCTTGCTACCCAAATTAAAACTTCTTTCCTTCTTCGCCGGGGTGTCGTCCTTGTCCAAGCATTCCTGACAAAATCGTATTGGCTTCACTTATCTTTCTTTTGATACCTCATTCTTCCTTTTGTTATTTATTATTTTTTAATAATTTGGGACATGTAAAAATGCAAATCATTCTGCTCCTACCACTTGATTCCAGCAAAGTACAAAAGTTCCTGTATAAATTAAAAATCACTGCCCCTCAGTGTTCTATTTTCTGGTGTGTTTAAAGTAAACAGTATGTTTGGACAATGCCCACTTGGTGCCCCGGAAATGGCCAACACTCAGCCTCAGACGAAGTCCATTTTTCAATAAATTAAACCCCTCCCTCTAATTTCCCCCCATTTCCCAAACAAGCTACACAGATGGCAAGCAGGACCCACAAGGCCAGAAAGGAAGAGGTGTCCCAGGTTTCGGAAATGGGCTGCCGGCTGACCGTGTGTGGCTCAGACCTGGGGACTTTTTGCAGAGGCCGCAGAATGAGGACAGCTGACACACGAGGACCTTGACTCGGTGCACAGACAGAGCAAAAGGAGACAAGAGACGGACAGAACGGAAAAGAGCTTTTGTTTTCTCTACATTGTTGTTTTGTTTTTCCTGATAGTCCCACAAAGGTGAGGGTCGGGTCTGGTCCAGCAGGTTTGTCTTGCTGCTCTGGCTGTCTCGGATGGCTGTGCCTGCGTTTTGAGGCCACTTTGCTGTCACCGAGTGTCCCAGGCTTGGTTCAGGCCGAGAGCGTGAGCGCTGGAAAGTCGCTGGGCCAGACCTCGAGGGGCTCCAAGGAGGCAGTGAGCCTCCTGCCTTCACTGTTCCTCTAGACCTCTGGGCCCTTCATCTCCTAGCCCAGGGCACACGGACGGGGTGAACGGACCTGGAGGCGGGAGGGGCCGGGCTAAGGGAGATTGGGAAAGAGGCGGGTGGGTGCGAACTGACAACCTCACATGAGCTGGGGCTGCTGCATAGCTTCTTGGTGCGCTGAAGGATACCAGGATGTGTAGCTGGGGATGTACGAGCCTGCGCTGCTGCCTGAGCTCTTCCCAGATGAGGAGTTCGGGTTCCAGCCTGGAGGGACCGGTGGGGAGCCGGCAGACAGGGCTCGGCCGTTGGCCAGTGCGCTACCCTCCAGAGCTGCCCCGCCTTGCTTCATCAGTTTCTTGAACTTGGAGCGTTTGTTCTGGAACCAAATTTTGACCTGCAAGATCGGACAACAGCGTGATTGGGCTGTGACCACTAAGTCTACCCTGGCCTCAGGAAGGATAGAAGGGAATAGTAGAAAAGAAGAGCGGGAACCCTCTTGCTCTTCGGAAACTGGCTGCTCTAAGCAACAGAAGAGAGACTAGACCAGCACCTCACCAAGAGGCTAGAAAGCTGAACCCCAACGCTTGTCGCTGAGGGCACCTCTCAGAGAGCCAAGGGGGCATGCTGATAAGGGAGCAGGGGAGAGCCAGGTTTTGTCTGTTAGTGGGTCAGTACCACCTTGGCTGTGGTTTTGGGAAAAGTCCTCACATGCAAAATATGCAATTTCAACTCAATATCAATAAAAAACAAAACATCTAAACAGATGTGGAGAACATCTATTTGCAATTGGAACACCTTCTTTTTACATCTGACTTTCTCTCCTTGCATGAGCTAAAAAAAAAAAAAAAGCACACAGAGTCACAATGTTTTTGTTAAACTTTTCTTTAGATTCAATTCTACTTTTTTTTCCTGGTGTGTTTGCTTTCCCCAGCTCCAATCCAAATCCCGGGCCAGACGTTGGAAGCCTGTATGAGCCCGAGTTAGATCGCCTACCAGCTCCCAGCAGTCTTAGAGAAATCCAGGGAGGGAAGTCTCATTTCTTCTCCAGGATCTGGGACTTGGGACTCAAGAGGACAGAAGGAGTGATTCCTACCGGCCACTCGGTAAGGAGGAGGCGGAGGGAGACTGAGGCTTAGGCCCCAGGACCTAAGTGATTAGTCACACACTTTAAAGGCAAAGGAGGGATTAAATCCCTCTTCTATTGTTCCGTTGTTCGGGCACGTGTGACCTCAGAATCCCCGATCAAAACATCTGGGGAAATCTTTCCTGTGCCCTCATCAGATGTCCAAGGACAGAGGCCAGACTGCAGGCAAGTCAGAGTCCTCAGAGCAGGGGCAGAGCTAGGGCAGACAGCATGAGGGAGAAAGGGGAGATGCTGGAAGTTATCGGGGAAGAGAGAGAGAGAGAGAGAGAGAGAGAGAGAGAGAGAG